TATATACGAATGTATTTTCATTTCTCTTTTCTAACGATACTCCACGAAAATGCTTGTGCACGCGTAGAAGATACTTATGTACTGTCTACATACTTATATTACTTACGTACGTACGTATGAGTTTATACTCACGAGAGCATCGTTACGATACTTCTTGGAACCACCACGTAAATTTACTAAAGAGCCGTGGGAACGTGGAACTTCGAACAACTACGTCGATGAACGGAATGAAAAAGACGAAAGTTGTTAATGATACGACGCATTGCATCTTCCAATAGATCGAATAGTAGGAATATAATATGTCTCTTTCTATCTTATTCATCGGCATTGTAAAGTTTTAACATTATTATCTACTATGTAATACGTAACATACGTTACTCGTATATTTGTTTTCCATTTTACACGTTTTACATCAGTATCGATTTACCATCAAAATCACTCGTTCTTTCTCTAATCGTTAATTTTTTTTAGCTTCGCGAGCGTTAATTTATTTAATTAATAATTATCTAAAACTATTGTTTATAACATCACATTGATCTTCGTAATATATGATAATATTTAAATGGTAATTTAAAAGTGCATACAAATTTTCTTAAATAAGTATACACGTTTTTACTCGTATCTGCGAGAGAAACTTGAAAGTAATTTTAGAAAAAAATGATTTTTTCTAGTCTCATGTCACGAACTCTTCCTCGTTTTATGCGATGTCAAGATTTACGACGGTTCGTACACGTTCCTTTTATAAGAAACATAAGGCGCAGACGATTCCGAGGAAAAGCTTGGTGCAACTGTAAGAAATAACTTAAATTACCTTCATTTATCATATCTAGAAATTCGCTAGCCAAACGATTAGAGAACAAAGGAGCAAACCCATTTGGCCGCTTCGTGATACCTATGTATACGAGAAAGTTAACGGCATCGAGTTGCCACCAAAATTGGCTGACCCTCGCAATACGCGGTTGTTGGCCAACTTTATTTCTCATCCAACCCTCCCCAATATACTATCTGTGCTCAAACTTTTGCGTTTATCGTGTAAAACAAAAAATGATTAACAAATTGATTGAATTTTCATATTATTTTATCATAGGTTTTTAAGTGTTTGTATATAGAATATAAAATTATGATCTTCTTATTCTGAAAAATTAATTATTTTCCTCGTATAATACTATTTACTTACGAACTGTTATCTCACTTTTTATAAATCTTACAAACGTTTAAATCTAATTAATTAATATACTTAAGCAGTAAATTTGTTAATCATTTTTTGACTTGTATATATTACTTTTAAAAATATTCCTTGTTTTTTTTTTCTAAGAAATTTAAATGAAGTTTTTTATTGTAAAATAAAAACAGGAAACCATTTAGGAAATACATCGATCAACCTTTCATGTTTTTAGTTGAAACCAACGAAAAATAGTGTTTTTTTTTTGCCGAGGAAAAATACGCGAAGACGGAGAAAAATCATAATCGTTCAACGGGTTGCGTCACGTATCACAGAATCGATAATTTTATCCTTCTCATATCTTCGTTCGCATTGCAAAGAAGCACACCGCGAGGTTGCATCTTTCGAACGAACGGGTATGCCAACGATGATTTACACCCTTTTTGACACACGATGTAGACGACGAGGTATCCACGTGAAAGTGTTCAAGGGAGTGGAAATTCGAATGAGGGTGAATGCATGAAATGTATCTAACGATTTGAAATTGCAATGAAATAGAATGGTATAAAGACAAAAAATTAAATAAATAAATAAAATACGAAATGACAAAGAGAAATACGAAAAAAGAATAGGACAAATTTTACGAAGTATCTCGATAAGTTTATTTAAACGAATTCGCGAATAATTACTAACATTTGTTAGTTTGCATTAAAATTGTTGATTCGATTTGACGATTGAGCGTAAACGTTATTATATTACATTTTAATTAAAAGTATCCATCGAAAGAGATATATTTAAATCTAAAATTATCTAATTAAAAGGGCTATTGATTTTTGATCGGAAGGGTATAAACGCGTTAACAAAAATTTCGTATTCCGCATGTTAAGGAACATGAATTCGAAAGTAGAGTATCGAACGCGAGATATCGAATATTCCGTTCGCACGATCTCTTAACGGAACGGAAAGTTGCGCGAAGCTCTGCGACGCCATGTAAATTTGATTAACGACTTCGTTGACGGAAATCGTAATGAAAGGTAATAACTATGACGACGAAGACGACGACAACGGAGATGAAGACGACGACAATGACGACGAATCGTGTCGTTTCTTTTTCATTTGTAAAACGTTTTTAGACGTTGATCGTAAAAGCATAGGATTGCGTTTGGAAAAATTGGTCATTTTTTTAAAACGCGACCTATTTTTTTTTTTTTTTTCTTTTTTGGTATACCTATTTTTTGTATTTATTTTTTATTTTTACGATTTTTCGTATATTTGTATTCGTAGTTTTACATTTTAATTTTAGGTCGACACGAAGTATTACATTTTGCTGCGCGTTTTAAAAATATCGATCGAGATTACACACAACGCGTAAAATGAAAACTAAAAAAATAGTTAAAATCGATGATGAAATAGTGATAGAGAGAGAGAGAGAGAGAGAGAGAAGTAAAGAGAGAAAGAGAAGCTTACAAGCAATAATAATTTTGCAAGGGATTCTTGGCACATCGTAGTCTTCTCTTACGATGCAATTTTGGAAGATTAGATCGCATCTCGTTCGAACTATCGTTCAATCTATTTTATCGTTTACCTATGAAATTTTTCATCCAAACACGTAGACTCATCTCGAGTTTAGAATCTGACGAAGTAACTTGGTGTGTGGTAACGCAGAAAAGCATCATCTTTCGTTCGCTTTTCTTACGGCGCAGTGTTCGTATACGCTCCCATCGTAAAGAACACCGCATGTTGCCTTCGCCATCGGTTTGCGTGGAATAACATTGTCGGTAGTGAAGGAAAAAAGAAAGAAAAAGAAATAAAAAAAAAACAAAAAGCAAAAAAAAAAGGAAAGAAATAACAAGAAATAAAAATAACGTTAACGTTCGTGCATAATACTGTTACGCGCGTTCCAGGTTCTACGCATGTATGTATTTATTATACAAGTTTTTCTTAAGTTACTATTATCTCGATGCTTATAAATTTAAACAAATAGAAGAAGAAGAAGAAGAAAAAGAGACAAATTCGCGTATGGTAAAACAAATATATTGTCATGTTAATTCTCCTATATATATAATTTATTACACAAATTTCAACCTCATATTCAATAAAACCCGATCGATCGGTAAAAAAGCAATTAACTTCGAATTAAACCAATCGTTTTCTATATAATATAATACACACACACATATACCTATACACATAGATACTATTTATAACACATTTATCGTAATTAAATAGACAATACCGTGCTGGTAGCATAAGACATAATCCGAGAAGGAATATGATCCCTGGACCAATTATGATACATTATTATCTGAAGAAGAAAGTTATAATGGTTAGAAAGAGTAAGGAATAAAAAAGAAAGAAATAAATAAAGATAGAAATAAAGAAAGAAAGAATGAGAGAGAGAGGAAAAACTAACTGAACAGAGCGCTGCATTCGACACGGATTGCTGGTTCCTTCCGCCCCTCTGTGTCGAGCCATCGGCTTCCCTCTGGCACCCTTTTTCCTCCCTTCTCCCTGCAATCCCTCTGTCCACCCGTCTGCCTGGCGGCCGAAGACGGGCTCTCGCTCGGTATTTTCTGTCAGTCGACTGCAGACCGCGGGGCGAGCTGGTCGAAAGAATACACATACACACATAAACATCTTTTTCGTACGAGTTAACGTATCTCGTAACAATTATTTTCAAATCAATCCTATCACGTGCGAGATTCACGTGTTCGATTAGAAAATTAACGAATTTATTTTGAAAAAATATTCAATATATTATAAACAAAAAAAAAAAAAAGAGAAAGAGGAGAAAAATGGAAATTGGAACGTATTCGATGCACAAATCGATGACGTAAAAAAAAAAAGAACAAATGTGTTTAATTGCTGTCAAAATAATAAATCGAAAAGAAAAGTAACGGGGCGCAATAGAGTGGTTCGATTGAAAAATTGTCAAAAGGATCGTTACGCGTGTTACTAATCGTATTTGTCGTTCGTTTGATTCTTCAATACTTTTATATATTTTCCTTTTCTTTTTTTTTTTTTTTTTTATTATTATTACAATTATTATAATTCAACTCGTAGGAGGAAGATCGTCGGATTGACGGCGGACTGTCAACGCGCGTATAAAGCCAACGATAGAGAACTCGATAGGCGGCAGTCTTGCGAGAACCGCACGCGCGCGAGGACGTAGCTGGTGTTCCCTCGACGGCCTTACACGAGGTCGGAAAATCGAATAAACGAACTATCGTTGCTTCTTTCCTGTCATAGTTTGCTATCACATTCATATTTCTTTTCTTTTCTTTTTTTTTTTTTTTACTTATTATCAAAATTTTTTCTTCGATCTAATTAATATCGTCGTCAACAACAATAACAACAACAACGGTAACAACAGCAACATCATCATCATCATCATCGAGAAGGAGCAACGATCGATCGTCTGGAACGAAGTTTCTATCTTATTTCTCTCTCTCTCTCTCTCTCTATTACTCGCTCGTTCTTTTTCTTTCATTCTATCTTTCTTCGATCGATCGTTCAGATCTGTCCTTGGTGGAGTTGTGCGTGATCGAGACACTCCTTTTTGCTATTACGATCAAATCTTTCTTTCCGTCTCTTTCTATTTCTGAACTGGACTATAGGATTCACGGTCAACAACGGTAGTATTACGTCAAACGGCGGAAGTTGGTTAACACACAACTACAGTAAGCGATGACAGTTGGCGTGTGACATCAACTACGACTATGATAACTTATAATCGTCAAATCGATGAAAACTAACGTCCGTTAGAGTAACGTTCATTCATGAATTTCCCCGGGCGTGTTTCGGTGTTGCATCCTAACGAGAAGAAGAAGAAGAAGAAGAGGAAAATACAACATACGTGTTTCTCGTTCGTGTAAACTCGTTGACGAGAGAGGAATTAATACTTTCAGTCACGAAGACTGGAAAAGGGTGGAGAGAGAGAAAGAGAGTTAAGATTTACTAGCTTCTACCGGTATAAAAAGAAAAAGAAAAAGAAAAAAGGTATGTGTTTACTTGAAAGATAGAAGAAAAGATAAGTAAAAAGAAAAATAACGGGGAATATCTAATAAGGTAGACATAGACAAAAAAAAAATATTACAAAAATGCAGAAATTAAACGAAAACGATGTGAACATTGGGAAAATTGTAAAACCCTAAAAAGGAAGAGAATAATAATAATAAAAAAAAAGAGAGAAAAATATAAGAAAGAAGAAGAAAAAGAAGAAGAAGGAGGAGGATATATCTGTGAAAAAGTGATAAAAAGAAAGCAGACAGGCTGGAGGATACGAAGGAAAGAGTTAAGAGGGAGGAAAGATCGAGGAGCCAGGCAAAGGCTGCCAACAGGGAGCCTCGCGAGATCAAAAAAGAGAGCTCGAATAATAGAAAGAAAAAGGATCGAGAAAATAGTCGAGGAATGCCGTGGATAAAGTGTTTGGGTGGTGCAGGAGGCAAACCCAGAAGGGGCAAGCCACTGAGCGTCAGTCAACCGATACACCTGCTTGTCAAGGTAAGATCTTTCGCTAAGATGTTTTTTTTTTTTTTTTTGATTCTTTCTTTACTTCTTTGTCTTCTTTCTTTTTGTTTTTTTTTTTGTTTTTTTTTGTTTTTTAATCTCTATCTCTTATTCCTAATGTCGTTAGATAATGATCTTTCGAAACGGTTAGGCCAGTAGGAAAATCGTGACTCGACTCAAACTCGTTTTACCTTTGACAAGAAGAACCCTCGAAAAAGCCTCTCGAGTTATACTCCTTTTCATTCCGTACTACTTACTATCGGATTCAAAACACATGGCTTCATTTATGGCTCTTTGCAATTGACTTTTATTTCGTTGGTTTTTTTTTTTCATTTTTTTTTCATTTATTCGAACACTCGATGAGCGTAACGCTTTTTATACGATTTTATCTAACCAAATCGAGATCTTTTCGAAAGAAGTGCTTCTGGCACTTAATACGTTTGCTTTCGGCATTCCTATGGATATAATTTTGTATTTATTTCTTTTCTTTTCTTTTCTTTTCTTTTTCTTTTTTTCTTTTATTTTTACGAATATTTTTCAAATTAATTTATGACAAGTGAAAAAGAAATATAAGGAATGATTTGTCTTACCGTATAATTTTGTTCTATAGTTTCAACGTAACCCCAGCTTCTTCTAATTTAGATTACATCAATTCTTTTAGAAAAATAAAAAACAAACTCGTCTTGTTTTGTTGGACAATAAATCGTAGATAAATTCAGCAGGATGTTTATTTAATGTTTAATGAATGTTTTACGGTGGTAAGTTTCCACGGTTTCGAATCGATGAAAAAGCCCTTTCCTTTCTTATTCCGTTATTCTCGTAAAGAATTATAAAGATTCGTGAGGAGAGACGAATGGGGAAGATGAAACTCGGGATTGGAAAGAATCATCGTTTCTCTAATAAAGCACACGTGCGGGAACGAGCGAGTGAACGAGTAAAGAAGGGATAAAAAAAAAAAATAGAAAGAAAAGAAAAAGTAAAAGAAATAGAAGAAGGAAGAAGCAGATAACGGAAAATAAAAAAGAGGGAAAGTGGAAAGATTTAGAGGAGACCATAGTAAAAGGATCGAGAAAGGGTAGAGATGGTTTGTTATTAGCCCCAAAGTTCCTTTCAACTTGGAATGCCATAAAAATCTCCAAGGAGATAAGAATTCTTTTCGAAAGATGACGAAGTGGCGCCATGGTGGTCCACCTTAGATCAAATTTATTAATCCCATAGCGTCATTTTTCTCTGCGCTTTTATACACATTTTGATACATGTATATATAATATCTCTCACAAACGTTAGTTCGTTCGTTCGTTTATTCATTCATTCATTCATTCATCGATTTCGAATAAATATGGCCCACCAATTAAAATAATAATCAACCTAATATTTCACTTTGCTCGTTTAAATCGTTTAAATCGTTGAAAATCTACACTATCACGATTGTGACTACGATAGAACGAATGACAAAAACATATCAAATTTAACAGCAAACTACTCTAGCAATACTCAACTATATTTGACTATACGTATTTCATTCGATACGAATATTTAATCAATGTTCACGCATACATTTATACATACGTACAAATATACAAAAACTCACCGTTTTAATAAAACATACGAAATACACGTTAAAAATTAAATTTACAAATGTATACATATATACATACATAAGTACATACATTCGAACGGACGGTTAAGAAAAAATTCGAGGGACAGGAAATGGCCGAATGAAAATTTAGTCGAAGGGAGTGATCCTGTCGGATGATAACGAACCTCTCGAGAATAAGAAAGAAAATTTACGATTCCAGGATGTATTTTAAATCTCAGAAATACGATAAAAACGTTTAAGGTCGATCAAAAGCTGTATGCAGTAGGAATACTATGAGTATTACATGAATAGATAACTATACATATGCGTAATCTAAATAACACAAGAAGTAGTGGATTGAAATGGGGGTGGAGGAAAGGGGAGGGGGGTGGGTGGAAGGGTAGAGATATCGTCGTACGAACGAAGGGTATAAGAAAAATGGAAGTTTAAAGTGGTCGGTAATTAAATAATAGTACTGCAACACCCATACCACCCATAGCGTTGGTGTGCAGTAGAGATTTCATTAAAACGCCGCGATACGATATTCTACGGAATGAATACGATCTCGACTGTGGAATACTTTGTCAGTGTGAAAGAAAGAGTAGTACCATTTCTATTCAACGTAAAAGCGAAAATAAACGAACGAATTAGTTGGCCCGGTGAATTCATTCACGTCCACCCACTAACAATATGGTACATGACGTAGAGAGAAAGAGGAAGAGAGAGATGATAGATAAAAGATAACATAGTAAATGATAATTAAAATGGTTTTCCATTTACCAATATACGTCTATTCATTTCTATCAACGTAACATTGTCAATTTAAATATATAATAATATTTGTCGTAATTTTATATGACGAAGCGCCTTCGTCTTTTTTAATTTGATAAAGAACAAGTATTTGATATATTACGGGTTTACAAGTTTATTTTTCTCTATAATATCTTTATAAAATGGTACGAATAATTATTTGATATATATTTTAATGGAAATAAATATCGATTGGGATCGATGATAAAATTTGTAGCTGTTATCGAACATGTTTTTAATGACGCAATCGATTTATACGAGAGATCGATTTCAATCGCGTTTTATTGGAGAAATTCGATGGAAAGGTCCTTTTGGTTGTAAAAGAAAAGTGGTTGCTCGTGCAAAAGTTGCTTTTCAAGCGGATACGATATCGTACTTGTTTTCCCGTAACACAGATTACTTGTTCTTCTACGTGTCGACGTTCGTGGGGTTCGCTTATGGGAGTACACGTTCTCTCTGTTATTATAACCGTACTATTATTGGTACACCTGTGCACGATACTTATCGTGAGTGTACATCGTT